CTTTTATATTTATATTCTATAATATATATTATAAATATTAATTTTAATAAAGTATTTTATATATATAAAACTTTTTAAAGTCTTTAAGAGTAATAATAATAAATAATTATTTTTAAGAATTATTTTATTAAGTTTTTAATAATTAATATATAATTATAGCGAGTTATTTAATTTTTTAATAAATAGTATTAACGAGTTAATTTAACTAATTAAGAGTTAAATTTATTTTCTCTTAAATATAATATCTAAATAATCTTTAATCGCTATAAGTTTATTATATAATATATTATAAATTAAATTATTTCTAAATAGCTTTCTAGATAATAGATTAATAAAATATTTAATTTAATTATATATATTAAGATTATTAAATAACTCTTCTAAAAAGACTTTTAATAGATTTTTAAGTTATTTAAATATATATAAGTTATCTAGCTATATAATATTATATTATATAACTTTATTATAATTATTTTTATTATTTTTAAATAAAATCTAATATAGAAATATAATAAATACTTATTCTAGATTATATATAATTATTATATTAATTAATAATATAAATTACTCTATATTTATTATTACGATATTTATTTATATTCTATTATTTATAGAAAAATCGCGATAGATCTAAAACTATTTATATTAATAAATATTTAAATTAATATTATAAATTTAAGAAAAATTAAAAATAAGATTATATTCTTATATATTTACGATATATATCTTTAAGATTTACTCTTACTTTCTTTTTTAATTATTTATAAAATTAAAAATTAAATTATATTTCTTATATAAGAATATTTAATAATTATTAATAATATATATTATTATTAGCGCGTATTTAAATTTAGAAATTTATATCTCTTTAATAAAAGATTATAATATAAAGATTCTTTTACTATCGATATCTATTAGAATAATTATTTTATACTTTTTATTTAATATAATAATTTTATTTTTTAATAATAAAGAGCGAGATTATTATTTAATTAATAGTATATTTAATATTATAATAATAAGTATTAAACTTTATTTTTTCTCTTATTCGATCTATAATTATATACTTCGTTATCTATAATATAATTTAAATATTTAAAAAAAAACTTATAATATTCTAGCTATTTATAATTATAATATTATATCTTAATAAGAGATATCTTAAACTTAATATAAGAGTTATTACTTTTAAATTTAATTCGCTTAAACTTTTAATCTTACGACGTTATAAAAATAAACTCTTCTTTTAATCTTATTAACTCTTTATATATTATTCTTTAAATTTCGTATAATATTAATTACTATTTCTCTAATTACTTATCTTATTATTAAAGCGAGTCTTATCTAGAGTAGAAAGCTCTTTCATTTTTTATAGTTTTTACTTTATATTCTAATATTATTATAATAGTATAGTATAGATAATAAATTAAGTAGTCTTCTTTATAACTTCTAGAAAAATTTTCTCTATTACTCTATCTTATAGATCTTTTATATATTCTAGATTAATTATATAGTAATCTCGCTATAATTAAAGTATAGTAAAATAGTTATTAAAGCTAGCTATTAACTATATATCTCTTATAATTACTTTAATTAATTAATATTCTATATTATAAGATTTAATAATTAGATTATAAACTTAATTTAAATATTATCTCTTATATTTCTTCTAGATAAATTTCTTAATATCGTATAATATAATATTTTTAATATTTACTTAAATCTACTTCTTAGTATCTATTAAGAGAATAAAAGTCTAGCGAGTTTTTTCTTTATTTATATAAAAATCGATATAAGATATTAAGATAATAAAATTATTATAATTTTAAAGAAATATAATTATTAAGCTATAATTATTAAGATATTATATATTAGATATTTTAATAACGCTTATCTTTTTATAACTCGAATTATAATAATAATTATTACTATATTTATAACGATATTTTTATATATTCTATATTTTAATTAGCTTAAATTTTTTAATAATTAATTACTTCTTAATATTAAACTTTAAAAATTAATAGTATTAAATTTAAATTAAGTCTATAAAATAAGAGTCTTTATTTATAAATAAAGAATTATTAAATATAACGATTTAATAATTATTATTTTCGTCGATAATATTATTAAAATTCTTATCGATATTAAAATTAATATTATAATCGCTTAATTATATAGTAAATATATTTTAATAAGAGTTATCTATTAAATTAAAAATGTTATTAATTAATTATAATAGAATTAACTCGCGAGTTATTTATTATAATTAAATTAAATAACTTTATATAAATAAAGTTATTAAAATTATAAGATAGTAAGATCTCTTTTAATAAAACTACGTAATAATTATATAATTATAAAATTTAAATATATAATTAATAGAATAAATAAATTAATTACTAGATAAATTAATAATTAAAAAAAAAGAAAAAAAAAGAGAACTTATAAATATTTAAGACTTTATTAAATATATTAAATACTCGCTCTAGCTACGTAGCTTATAGTTTAATAAGTAATATAAGCGAGCCTATTAATTCGCTTCGAGTACTTTCACCCTTATAATTAGATACGCTGGCGTATAGAGGGATCCTTTCTAAATAGTAACATCGCGTTCGAAGTAAGAGCTGGCGATATAACTATTACACGCCTAAGTTAAAAATAAAATATTAGAAAAAGCGTATATACTCACTAGCTTCGATATTACGAATATTTAACTAAGATAGTAGACGATAATAACTATTGCAAGAGTAACAAGTACATTCTCTACAATTTTCTATAAATAACGCTAATAAAAAGTCGGAGGCGGAGCTAAATCAGCTTTGCCAAGCATTCTTATTTAATTTGCAATTCATAAATTCATTAGGTTTTTATTTGCCGTGTTCTTCCGACATCGCCTCGACTTGCTTTTTCAACGCACGATGAATTCACGTTCGCGTATGTTGATATTGTTTCAAAATTGAGTCTTAGAACTCATGGCAATACTCTGATCCTCTCTGCTTTGTCTTGCCTTCCCAAAGGTTTAGAAGAAAACAACAAAGATGTCGTGTTCTTTGGCCAATTCTGAAAAGTTCCCTCTACTATTTAAAGAAGCCGTCACGTCAGCAACTACTTCCGAACGTGACGTTCTTGTACTCGACGCCGAGCACACAGTATCCGATAAGCGTCGAGAGGCAACAAATTTAGCCCTTTGTTGCCTCGGCGTTTATCGTATACCTCTGCTTTGCAGGATGACGCAACTAATGCCGATCCCTTGCTGCAATGTAACGTCGCGCTGACCCCCGAGAATGAGCGATTGTGTTTCGTCGTAGGATACCTCTAGAGATCCTTCAGCTCGGATGAAGCAGTTTCGGAGGCCGCAGGATGGTGGCGCAGTGCAGCTTGCATGTAAGCTACCAGATAGCGCTAAAAAGGCGCAATGGTCTTTTTCTTCCAGGCGCAGCTTGCTACCACGCATGCCAGATTGCTGCCCTGCTATCTTAGCAGCACTGTCCTACGTCTTCATGCATATTCTTATGAGGCATCCGAGCCACTTCCTCCTGGAACTTGATTTTCCTTCTCTTTTGTGCACTGTATTTTCATCTGGTTCTCGCCATGGTTCTGTATCTGAAGAAACTGTTCATCATCTTCTTGGTCCGAAGATTGTGCTCGGGTCAATCAACGTCAGGTGGGTGTCGATCAGCGTAATGAAACTCTCGACTGCTCATTTTGTCAAGGAGACTATTGCAGTACTTGTAGTGCAGCACCAACATGCACAGGCTACAATGTGAACGCAGATGTGGTTACCTCGCGCGGCACTTCTTGGACTTATTTTAACCCCTATGAACCTGGAGTTGCGTAAGCATGAAACCCTGACACTGCTATATTGCGGCTAATAGATACAACGAGCAGCACTTCTTTTACTGACTATAACCCCGCATATGCGTAAGTGCGAAGCTCCGATTCCGTTATCTACAACTGAGATATACAATCACAGACAAGCATTCTTGCAAGCTTCTCTCATTTTTACAGCATACTCTGTCACCTCGACCTCATCAGTGACAGGGAACTGCCTTACATATACTAGCTCACCGGTCCCATTGGTCGATGCACAAATTTTCCCCGTTCCCTTGACTGTTGAAACTGAGAACTACAGCAGCTTCGTGAATGACGCATACTCCTCTTTCTATGCCACATTAGGTTACAAGGGATGTATTGCTGCCTTGACGCCAGGTCAATCATTACCAACATACCAAGGAATGTTCATAACATCAACCTCAGCGACGACACTCATCTCGGCAACTGCGGCAGAGACCTCAGCAACTACATTACCGTCGGTGACGTCGGCGAAGACCGCAGTACTCTCGCAACATGTCCACTCTACGCAAATCATCATCCTCTCTATTGTAGTGCCAAGTGCTGGACTGATAATACTCCTCCTTTACTTCATCTTCATCCGTCGATACCGGAAGAAGCGAAGCCTGGCAGCGTCCACGAACCATCCAGCAATGACATCGAATGTGCAACTTTACCTGGACCAGAAAGCGGAACTAGAAGATGAAGAACGAAGAAAACACGAACTAGATGCAGGAGGAAATACGTATGAGATGGAAGGAAAAGACTGCATATTCGAGATGCCAGGCGCCGGAAACACAGAAACGAGGTCAGCATCGTGTGACAAGGTACACGAGTTGAGAGGCGCGGAACATTCGAGAGAACTCGAAGTCCTCGGTAAAGTTGAGGCCGCAAGTGGGAGCCCGAGGTGATTATGTACGAAGTCATCAAGGGGGATCGCGTTTGCAGCACCGCGAGTATTAGGTATGTGGGATCTCAGCCCTTTTTCAGTTAGTACAACATACGAGCTGGAGCTACGCTCGCCTTTTCATTCTTTGATCGCAGACACGGGACGCGTTCACACGTAAAAAGTTTGACGACTTCTCTGGAGTGGTCTGTCGCGCAGAGAGCCGGAGACATCGATTGAAGGCGGGAGAAAAGTGGAAAACAATGATCGTGTAACGGAGATGCCAGAGGAGAGGGGATCAGGGATGCGATATTTGCCCGTGGGACACGAGTTGAATGGCAATGACCGTTTGAAGGAAATGTGAGTGCCTTCGTGCTGCTTCAGCCGTCGATGATCTTCCTGCAACCGACGTCTAATAAGAATGAGGCAGGGCAACACAAATTCGAACTCTAATAGGACTATCCTAAAACTGGCAAGAATATGGATGGTACCGTTCCTCTATGACGCATTCTTATGTCTTAAACTGCGTTTCGGATCATCGACACCAATCGCGTGCTCGTCCGCGCCGTGCGCATAATGCACGCCTGCAGATTCAAGCGAGCCAACGATACTCGCTTATAGACCTCCATGCCGTGACACCAAGTGGGGTTAAAAGCAGGGCGCACACTGCAACAAAATGTTGGCACAGGGAAAGGTAGTCAGCAAGCCATGCGATTGGAATCAACTTAAACCGGAGGCACTAGCTCTCGCAAGCACATCCCCTTTCGTCAATAGCAACCGACTTATTCACTAGCGCTACTACCCATCATGCTTGGTATGGGAAAAACCATTTTTGCCGCAACGGTCTTCTCTCCACATATACCTTACAGAGTCACAGAATGGCTCGGTAGACTGGAGGAAAGAATCTGTTGGGCATGGTCTTAAGACCATTCGGATTTCTCGATGTATTGGAAGATGACCCTACTGATCGCTTGTGTCATCCCGGGCTTGGGCTTTTGCTTTGGTCGGTCGGTATCAGCTCTGGGAGCCGGTAAGCTTTGACCACAATATTTGCATTATCAACATGGGCGCAATCCAACTTTTCTATGACAGTGAATCCAAATTCTACAACTCCCACGAGCATTTCGTCATTGAAATCGTTCGGTGCAGCTCCAACAGCACTACCAGCGTCACAAGCGACACCCCTAAGCGAGGCGGATGGTCAATCGGCAGCAGCCTCATCCGTGAGGGCATCGGCGTCCATAAGCTTATCATCCGCAGCATTGTCACAACTAGCCGCAGCAGCATCGTCACAAGCAATAGCAGCCGCGTCAAGCTTCACCAATTCTGGCTCCGAAGTGGGCATCTTTGCTCAGGTCATCATAGCCATTGGTGTCCTTCCAATCGAAGTACTTATCGTGACAATTGTGCTTGGAATCCATAGGCTTATGCATCGAAAGCCATCACGACCTCTCCGGACTAGGGTCGATATCACGAAACCAAAACGCGACTCACTACCTTACCTCCAGCCAAAGGCAGAGCTGGAAGATGAGCAGAGAAGAAGGCATGAGTTACATGGCGAGCACCTCGTACATGAATTGGATGGTAAGGATGAGATCTATCAGATGCCTGACGAGACGGATAGTCTGGTCCTGCCTTTGCAGGGAAGACCAGGCATACATGAGATGCCAGAGGGGAGTCATGTGAGCTGGGAGATGCCTCTTCAAGGAAGGCATAAGGTGATGGGTTGTGAGAATGCTCAAGAACTCGAGTCTCCAGCCCAGAAGAGAAACGAGTCCATCAGAGTGGAACGTCCGCAAGAGCTTGAGTCTCCGGTACGGTCAAGGAATGAGCCCATGGTGTTAGAGTCCGCTCAACAGCTTGGCTCTCCAGTAGGAGCAAAGAACAAAGTGGAAGACGCTCAGGGTCTTGCCGCTCCGGTTGAAGATCCCGTTACAGACTCTACGCATGTCAACCCAAGTCGAAGCCATTTCATGTTGAGGCAGCAACAAATGTTAGACATCGATGCTGTAACGGTAACAGCTCAGAACGACGCCAGTGAAGCATGATATAACTTGGATATGCCACTTCAATAAGAGAGAAGAAGTTGTGTGAAAAAATTTCGGAATATTGAGAGGAGATATGAGCTTCTGGTTAACGATCTACTCAAGTATCTATGTTTCATTCGGCGCGATTTTCTTTTCACGATTCTATACCAATCTGCACCACCGTTAGCAATACATGGATTTTGAAAGCTTGCGGACCGGTGTTTTCGTGTTCATAGTGTTTCGTTCTAAGATGTCAAGTGCTTCTCTCCCAAACAGGAGTCTTCGACACCCAGAGAATTCAGGACCCAATTCTCGAAACACTCGACTGTTGGACAGGCTTGTGGCGTCATAGGCACCAATAACGGCCGTTCATGCAAGATATGATGCGTGGGATCACCTTCGCAGACGCTTCCAACGAGCTCCTGATCTAGGATCTGGGCTCTAACGTTCGCTGAGTTGATGGAGTCTCTTCGATGTGCACTCGAAACCTCATGTTGCTTCCGAAATTTCACCCCCTGTCGCTCGGAGACGGCGTCGGGTGACCTTGTTCCGCGACACAGAGGCATTCGGACACTGCTTTCTCGAGCTAATCAGAGTCCGAGGCGTCGGCACCGCGCACTTGGTATTGAGATGGTCCTTGTGAAGCTAATCCAAGGACATGGTTTCCGTCCTGAGAATGATGTTTAAGGGGAACTGGGTTTGGGCAACATTCCAGATGCCTTAGAGAGTACAAGAGTGCTCATGAGGAGGCGCAGAAAGCTTGACTGTATGTGGAGAGATGTCATGTAGAGGGGACGGACCGATCGGCACAAGTGAGCATCTGGAATTAGGAGCTAGTCTGCATCTTTATTTGGTGCTTATATTTAGGCTATAGATGTCGCAGTTGGCAGTGGGTCGTCTTTTGAATGTAGTTGGACGTCGGTACTCGCATGTAGAGCCGATCTTGATTCATCCAAATGATGCAATAGGCAAGACGAATCTTCTTCCCAGCCACCACTTAGGCCGCGTAAGAACTGGATGGTTTCAGAGGCAGCCCAGCTTCTTTGCAGGCTCCATCCATCATCTCCATCTGCCTGATAGAATCCTCACCATCGATCCATACTCCGGAACCGTGTCTCCCTTGCACCCGGGTCACAAACTGCTCGAGTTGATGCCGGTACGTGCTCCAGGAAGCATCACCAAAATTGCTTGAAATATGTGTTTTTTGTCCACTGTTTTTCAACACGACTACCTTTCGTATGCTGAAGAGTATGATCTTCTATAATGTCAATTCGATGCCATATCGATGCGAGAAGGGCGTCCCAAATAATGACAATTTTCGTAGTAATCGTCTCCATCTCTTCCAATGTTGGATATCGGATAGTCTTTTCACGATCTTTGACTGAGCACATAGGAGCCTTGATTGACGGCAGACCGCTCGTTAGCCAAGGAGGAAATGGCCTCCTGTTGCGGCAAAATCTGAGACAATGTTCCCAATGCCGCCATTTGGGAATATCCAGCTGGCACCGAACGCCTGGTCAGTGTTCTGATCTAATCCGTTCGGCATACGTCTCACACTAACTGCGAGGCACTCGACAGGCTCAGTGCCCAAGACTTGCCGTGGCATTTGCACGTTGTAGGACCCAGAATCCATCAAGGGGCTAATTACCGAATCATACCCCTACACCAAAATTTGGGGTATGATTCGGTAAGGATTCATAGTCTCGGGGTATGAATTAGTAATTAGCCCATCCATCAAGCAACCCCCAGATAGATCATATTGGAACATCGCTGGGCATAAGACCCTTGGGAAGGTGGTGTGTAGATGTCGCTTCAACGATTTTGACGAGTCTATAAAGGAGAGAAATTTCTGCCACGCAGGACGGAATCGGATGTGGACGGCGTCCAATGAGATTACCGCTTGCAGAGAAGATTTTCCACCTTTCGCTACAAGCGGATTCCGGAGAAGACTACGCGCCTCTGAAGGGTTAGATCCCGAAGGCTTTTCGAGTGAAACATGTTTCCCAGCCTTGAGTGCTTCCATAGCAGAGAACCTAGAATACACAGCTTGCAAGAGCTCAGGGGCGAAGAGCATTCGGAAGAGCTAGAAGTTCCGCAGCGGTATAGTTGAACGGAAGGATGCTGCGAGCCTTCATGAAATTTCCCTGTGTCTTATATGTTCTTCGCAGAACCACCTCCCTTCATGGCCCGCGCCGTACCGGAGCCTTCTGCTCCTTGCGGCGCAGCCATGCATAACCAAATAGCACATGAAACCAAACAGCACATGAAACCAAACGATATCCGGATAAGATTTTACATCGATGAACCCAGTTACAGATTTGGCACAATGAAGGCACAGTGCAGCTAAATCTATGCGCTTGGAGGATTTCGCAGTCTATTCACTTCTATAACATCTGAGCCCCGACATTTTGCTCTGGAAGCAGCGTCGCAGGCGCAGTGCATGCGTTGAGTGCAGATCAGTAGAGTAAAGTGCTTAGATGTCCCGCTGTTTTCTACCCATTTATGCTTCTTTTCCAAAAATCCCAGCTAGTCTTCGTAAGTGTTCGCAATTGTTCTGTCTAGCATGTGTAAGTAATGCTCTGTTCCGTTTGAATCGTGCTTGGCGTGGTCTATATCACAGGTTCGTTCGGACTATGCACAAGCTAATAGCCGATGTATGTCGCAGTCGCCTCGCGTAGCCGTCTATCCTAATTGAGACTAACCTTGGATCAGCATGAACAGCACCCCTACCTTCGGACTATGCGGTGGGTGTATAATAGAGCCAATGTACCCTGATTGTGCTTACTCGAACGGCAACACCATTGTCCAAGGACCTCCTGATCACCCTCCTATCTCCTTTGAGGGCTTTGGCGCTGGGTAAGCGTCACTTGCACCCCCAAGTTAATCTATTTCAACTGATCTGCTTGTGCAGTACGCCGTTTACTACGATTGGGTATGATTTCGTAGGATATACGTCTTTCTCTGCATATTCGAACGACACAGGGTGCACAACGAGCTCAACCGAAATCCGTTTATCGAAGACCTTCTTCGTCCCCACACCCTCTGGTCTTGACTGGAATTATTGGCTGTCGGCGGCGGAAACATCATTCGTCTCTAACCTAGACTTTCCGTCGTGTTCCATGAAAGTGCCACCCGTTGTAATTCAACTCGGCGCTGCGCCAATCCCGGTCTTCCAGACATTAAATTCATCGCACACACTATCTTTGTCATCTTTCCCACGATCAGCAGTACCGTTTCGACCTACGGCTACGCCGTCTTCATCGTCATCTTCGCGGTCGGCGTTACCATCGCAGCCTCTAGCTACAACGGCAACCTTACCACCGTCGCAACATACACAGAGTTCGTCTGTAAGCACGCGAGAGATGAGTAAACTTGTCGTCGGCCTCGCCGTTGGAATCGCCGTCCTGGTCCTACTCGTCCCGATAGGTCTGGCTTTGTTTTGTACCATTCGGAGACGGCGGCGAAGGAAAGACAAAGTTGCCACAGTACATCAAGGCGTTGATAGGACGGGCGGCGAAGGGGAAAGTCCTCAATCGTGTTTTCAGCAGAATGTGGAATTTGTTGATGAGCAACGGAGACATGAGATGGAAACCATAGAAATCAGGTACGAGTTGCAAGGGGAGGATGACATACATTAGATGCCGGTAGAAGAAAGAGGAAGACTTTCTCGCGGACGGGAGCTACGAGGTGAGGATCATTCGAAATTAGTTGATCACAGAGTTTTGGGACTGTCGCTTTTCGAAGGTATTGAAATTTTCGCCAATACTATCAGCGTCACTGAGGTCTCAGAAGATCAAAAACCCAGTCAAGATACGCCGAACTCGAGTTCGTACCCCCAATCCAGCTCGAATCGTGACAGGAGGCCGTGAGTGTTTCAAAATACCTGATGGTCACAGTGGGACTGGAGGTTAATGGGTCTCATGATATTGACGCTGTTTTAAGCCCTTGCCAGGTACCCTGTAAGGGGTAGGAGACGGGTGTCCTCTACGAGCTATGTAGTCACCTTTTTTGCAATTGTCAATGGCTCTTCATTCGATTTCGTCTCTTTCAGAGCCATTGCAAACTTTTGTCCCACACACCCACGCCTGTACCATTTCACTTCAAGGTCTATGCCATAGGCATGGCATTTTCTTTTACGCTGGGGTACGAGAATATGCCATTCCATGCCTCTATTTTGGCCTGTCCAGGCTTGCTATCCCCAGCGTGAGAACGCCCAAACACTTATTCACATCCTATGTGGGCCCTATTTGGACATGTGATGTTTGTTTGGCCCAAATGGGACAACTAAGTCTTTATAACATCCAACCCAGTCTTTTGTATGAACACCCAATCCTGGTCACAACGTTAGTGTACGCACTTCAGTATAGCGCGATTCAGCTTAACTGACAGTTACCAACACCGGGAGCTTAGACAATGCGAAGCGCACTATCGAAGCATATCCGCCTCTCCAAATCTGCCCCCTGGCCCCTCCCATAATGTCGCCCACAACCTTCTCAGCGTAGACCGAAGGCACCATCCGTGGCGTTCCGTCCTCGCCCCTCGCTCGACCCGCTATATCTTTCTCAATACTCTTGTACATCGAATTAGGCGGAAGTTTGAAGTTGGTGCCGTTGGCAAGACCATTCGTTTTGACAGCTCCAGTGTTGACTGTCACAACCGCAACGCCCAATGGCGCTAGCTCAAGACGAAGAGCCTCTGTGATTGCGGTCATGGCAGCCTTGGACCCTGCGTAGACGCCTATTCCTCTGGGTAAGGGGCGGACGACAGACCTGAGGGCTTTGGGAACTCACCCATCCAAGGCGTGATCACGCTGGTAGATATAGAGCCAATGCTCACAAGGGTACCTTTGGCGGCTACGAGCAGCGGCGCAAATTCCTGCGTCACGCGGACCATGCCCCAGACATTAATGTCATACATCTCCTTTGCAGTCTCAATGTCGAAGTCCAACGTTGGCATGATGGTCGTCTGGCCGGCGTTGTTCACCAGGTAGTCGAGCGTTCCCCCAGTCTGAGCGCGCACAGTTTCGACGGCGGTCTGTACACTGGCTGGTGAAGTAGGATCAAGCGAGAGGAGCGTCACATTGGGTATCTTGTCTAGTTGTGACATCTTGGATGGATCGCGCGCGGTTGCAAAGACATGAAGATTGCGCTTCTGGAACGCTTCGACCAAGGCAAAACCAATGCCCCCTGCACTACAGCCCGTGATGAGGACCGATTTGAGCGTCATGGTGCGAGTGAGAGGTGTCACAGTACGTTGAAACTACTGGCGAATAGGTGGTGGGTAAGCTATAAAGATTGGAGAGCTCGAATGTGGGAGCTACAGCCTACGAGTTTCGTAGGGTGGGATGCCAGTGAAACACAGTCGCGTGACTACAGAGAGAAGTCTCAGCGAAAAGATGAAAGTCTATGCCAAGCCACTAATCTTAGAGCGGGCTGCCGGCTGAGAGTGTCTGTCTGCGTGTTATGCAGGTATCCTTCGGACCTTGTCCAGGATGGCATGTGATTTCACAACGCAGCCAGAATCAGCACTAAAGGCATCAGGATTCCAGCGTCCAGCCCTAGGGAATTGCCAAGGGTTCTATCAAGAGTGGGCGCAGGAAATGCTTCGACAAAGGCTAGCGCTCTTGATCTATTCTTTCTCTTCCTACCACCGTATATTTCTATCGATTCGGAACGGGATATGACCAGGTTTCTCTTCAGGCGAAACTTCCGTGTCATAGCTCCATTAGAGCCGAGCCTCTACAACCTAGCTTCTCAGACGATGTCGAGAGTTCCAATGATGCAAGAGAGACACCCCGAGCTCTTCATGAGCTTCAACCAGGACCTGCGAAAATGCAGGCGCGTAGTGCCAATGGGAGTTCTGAGTCCGAGAATGCTGCGTACGGGAACAGCGGAACAGCGCGTATGACATCCCCAAACGATTGTACGCTTTCTAGACTGCTGACCTTGCACTTAGGAATGCAGCTCGCTCTGGGCATGCAAGGGTATCCGTGCTATTACGGTCTCACCCTCACCACCAAATTCCGCGATACCGATATGAGGATCGATCACTAAACCCCCAACCTCCCGGGATGAGTTGTTCATCGGTCAAGACAAGAGGTTTCTCAGTATGAGCTCTCAAGATTGGCGCAGCTAGAACAACATAATTTTTTGCTTGACTTCTAGAGTTCGAATGAGTTAGTGTAACGTAATGTCGTAGTGGAGAAGCGCGAAAAGAAGCGATCTCAACTCCTCAGTGCTTGTAGTGAAAGCTGGTCCCAAAGTGGCATACTTCGAGGAGCACATTGGAGTCCATACGAAGCCATTCTAACCTTGGGATTGAGTCATACGAGTATTGTGAAAGTGGGACAAAGAAGGTAAAGTGCAGTTTTGGTCCCTAGTTTGGCACGTCTGAGAAACTGAGGCAAAGCCTTTGTCCTCAGGAACAGCCGTCATACGCAGTGGAGGGGGAAAACGTGAGCTGAGCATATATGAGGAGGGTTTTGAGCAATCAGGACATCCTTAGGATCAAGATCGTTGAGTGGAAGTATATATCTTTGAGACTTTCCTCAAGCTCAGAAGATATGGCACTCGAAAGTTTGGCATCGCGCTGGCACTTGAATATAAGATATCTCCATGTATAAAGCGCTCGAATCGGTCAATGGGTCAATCAGTCGTTTATTGAGTCTTTCGAGCCTTTGCTTGCTTGCAGCTCCAGGTGGCATTGGGTCCCTGAGCGAATCCCAAAGACTTCCGTTTCAGACCTGCCCTGAAAATATCACCACGCCACCATGTTTTAGATTAAGAGGCAGAGAGCTCTAGATGTTGAAGATATGGGCAAGTAGTGATACCGGCTTTTGTGGTATGCGACTTGCCGAATGGCAAATATCGGACCACCAGACTGTGGAGTTAGGTTTCGGATCTCAGGGGTAAAATGCCGTGATACAAAAGGAGTAGGTACTTACCACGCTGTCGGTAACCAAGCAAGAGTTTGAAATTCCTCGGACGTAGGTGTGCCATACGTAGGCAGAACTCCCCAATCCCGCCTGACGCTCCTCGCGGTGGTGGTGGAGTCACGGTGCCGCCTTCGACATCGGATCAAATGAGTTAACCACGTAATTACTAAATAATCGAATGCTCGGAGCGCCTGGTTCTTGCAGCCTCGCCGCAGCGATCGCATCATAATATTAGCCTTTCTTGAACTTTTCATTTCGCTTCTTTTTGGTGTGTTTTCTGACCCCTGCGTACAACAATGCGTCAATCTCAACAACCCGGTGATGGGAACATCGCAGGGATCGCATTGCTGCTATGGTGATTTGCTTCCAGCACCGAGCAGCCAGGTTGCCCACGCTGATTATCGCTCGAGTTGTACTGGATACGGACCCGACTCGTGTAGGTCCATGCAAGATTGGAGGTTGTGGGCCCAATGCCTTGTCGGTCAATCTGACTGGACTTGACGGCAACGTGGGCAGCAACAATTCGAGCTTAGACACGAATAGAACACTAGCGGCCACTGCGGTCTACGGTATTGTAAGTAAAGACTCTTCGATCGCTTCCACTATTCGCAACAGTGGGACTGTGGGTTAGTGGGTCCATTATGAGGCCATAGCGTTGCTCGGGGGCGTCAAAAGTCACCGTTTTCCGAGGTTTACCCAGCCACTCTGGCATCCCACCAAAATAGTAGTGTAAACATTTCTAAATAATCAACAATAAATCATAATGAACCCCCTCATATACCTATACGAAAGCCTTATCGTTAGGAGGCTATTATGCGTAAAAAGGCTAAATTCTATAAAGCTTATAATACTTAGGAATTCGGAATTACGCTTAAAGATCTTTGTATTTAGAGAAATATTCTATCTAGTATAAGTAGAGATTAAATACGACTTCGAGAGATTTAGAACTCTCTCGGTATTAGAAGGCACGGTAAATAGCGTTCTAGATATCTCTCTAAAGTTAATTAAGCTATTTATAATACTCTATAAGATATTAATAATCTCGTATAAGATTAATCGATAAAACGTTAAGTTAAACATTATGAGATTCTTATTTATCCTCGAATTATTAAGCGTAATCGTTATAAATATATTAATAATACTTAATTATATAAGTAACGTTCGACTAAAAAAGTATTCGAGTTAAATGCGAAAAAGAGATCGAAATATGAGTATATATATAAAGATAACACTATTAAGAATTTTTAGTAATTCGTTACTTAAACGAACGAAAAGTATTAGGACGTTAAATTTATATAATAGAACCGCATATTTCGAGACGCTAATATTGTCGAGGACCTTAAAAATATATAGATAATACTTTTAAAAAGAAGGTACCTCGATTTATATTTTTGTAGATATCTCTTGGAATCATAAAGGCAAATTGCGCTTCTATC